GCAACGCAGTGCTCCACTCTTTGGGCATGGCGTGTGATTATTTTAGGCGGCTTCACTCGCAAACTGATGCCTGGCCTCTTTTGCTCGCGCACTTTGTGTTCTCACCTCCGGGCAAGCATTGTAAGTTGAGGCAAGATGTGGCAACTCGTATGCTGGGTTTGGGGACCATGGAGGATCTCGCCACGATCGATTGCACAACCCTGAAGATATTACACTTGTTCCGCAACGAGATCAAACAATCATGTAACGATGGGCTTCTTGATGAACATGTGTGGGGCCTACTGCATAGCATATTTAACCTATGGTCGTTGGAAACACAAGAGATCGAAGGGATCAACAGCACGATAAAACACATAATGAAAATTGCACCGTTTACTGGGTGGGAACTTCTATCTACTCGCACAATGGTCCGTAAGTGGTTGAAGTGGTATGGCGAAACCTCTGATGAGTACGAAGACGAATTCCTGAATCGATGCATCGAACACCATAAGGCAACATGCGATGCAAGGGAGAAGGAGAGGCTCAAACCAGATGGCACTGGAAGATTCGATGTCGTCGTTGACCCAGGCCCATCTGAGCCAGCAGCCCCGCCAATGGCGCGGCCTCCATGGTACCCTATTGTGCCAAGCTGTGCATCGAGGCGACCTGCTACTCGACTTGTGACAAAGCTCAGGTCCACATGGCCTGCAGATTGGATTCCGACGAGCATGTGTGCTTTGAGAATATCGTCATTTATCCCGCGTGGCACAGCAACGGTGGAGGGTTGTTACATCCTGTGCCATAAGTATCGCAGTAGCATGTGGTTGGCGACTATGCAATCGAACGGTGACGGCGAGCTGGCGGTGATAACCCCGTTACAATTTTCATCGCTACTGGACTGCATGGCTGCCTATCGGCAGAGACGCGTCGATGCGAAGGGAGCTGATGCAGGATATGTATTATGTCTTGTCGTCTTATTCTCGCTTCCTCCTCTTCCTGCTTCTGCTTCCCCTGACGCCTCCGCCGCTCGCCCGCACCCCACCGTTGCCGCAGGACTTGACTTCAAAGTCGAGGTGCTGCAGCTGGACTGGGCATACAGTAACACGAGGAGGTGCAACATCGTTTCCGAGGGCCACCTGTTTTTCTTCAGCGACGTGAAGTCGAAGTCGGCCCCTGCAGCGTGCGAGGAAGTTAGCGAAGCAGACGAACTTGATCTTGAGGAAGAAGCTATTCTCCATGATGAAGATGTCTTGGACCACGAGGGGGACGACGCTGACGACGCTAGAGATGGCCCTGATGGAGATGGCGCGGACGAGCCAGACGTCACGTACCAAGTCAGACTTAAACGATACACTGAACGATTGGCTGACTTAAAAAAGGCAGTCGACGCTTTGGACGCCACGGCAGACCCCAGCATGTACGAGGAGGAGAAGTTCGTTGAAGTACTTGATCGATTGGAGGCAGAAGATGCGGACCTTGGAGACCCACCAGCGCCGCCCGAGCATGATGGAGGTATCGCTGGCGCGCCTGGGGTGTTCGCTGGTGTCGATGAACTCCTGGTGGGCTTATGGGCACCGACGGTTGCCCATACTCTGATTGCATTCTTGGAGCTCTCCGACCCCAGATGTTCGATGCCAGTTTCGTCCTACGCTTGCCTAGTGGAGCGCACGATAGATGTATGTGAAGGCCAGGTAGAGCCCATTCTCGACTGGATGAGGGTGGACGAATACAGTCAAGACCCCATGCGTTTTGTTGCGCGCATGTCTGGCATTGACAAGAGTGGGCGACTTGCGTTCAGAACGGTCGCTGATAAGAAGGACCTTTCTTCAGAATTGAAATCCGAAGATTTGAAATTCCTGGTGCCAAATACGTTATGTCGGATTGTGAGGACGAAAGATTCGTGGCCAGAACTTCCAAGCCATTTGAGGACGGTGTACGAATTCCATTCAACCAAGCTGGATGCGATTGGATACACAGAAGATGTGGGTACATGCGCCATTTGCGGCGAGGACTGCGACATTCCCACGTGCCCTCTGTGCAGAATGCGGTTCCACCCTGAGTGCACAGCTAAACCAGCAATGGAAATAGATATTGATCACGTTTGGGACAAGGTTTTCTCGGACGACCCTCGTGAGAAGGAGCGCTGGAAGGCGAGCCTCGATAACGTGGAATCAGGGTCAGTGATCATGCGAGAATTTGGATTGGCAGACTTCGCCTTCTGTTCATTCTGCAAGGCGTGCATTCACAAAACAGGCGGGCAAGTCATTGCATATCATAGCATACCATAGCATATCGCATTGCGCTGGAATCAAACGACACGCTTCGAACTGGGTGTCTGGGTGTCTGTAACGTGTCCATGGTGGCGCAACCTTGGGAGTCTCTTAACCACTGCCTGGTTAACATGGGCAGAGAAACATGAATGCTAGGTGCACAAGCGCATTGCATTGCATTGCGGGGCGTACAGAACATGAGCCCACACTCGTCCGAGCCAGACCCTTATCTTGAGCCTATCATTGTTTTAACATTGTCACAGAAGATTGAGGAGGATGAAAGGTGAGGTTGAGCGAGGAGGAGGATGAGAGAGGATAGAGGGATGAAGAGGGAAAATGAGAGAAGAGGGCGAGGCACATGATCAACAACACGTGTACCATAACATAAAACGGAGTCTGAAATCAATCGATTTGAGCCGCCTGCTTGAGCCGAACATGGCTGCGGATCGGAGCCTGTGACGGGGAGTGTAATCTCTGATTTCAGGCTGATCACGTCGTCAGGGGGAGCGCCACTATCGATCCGATGGACACTGGAGGGGTGACTAGTGACATACCCCCCTAAGTCACTAGTGGACCACCCCTACACTAGTGACATGGGGAGGTATGTCACTAGTGCACCAGGGGTGCACTAGTGACATGGGGGGGTATGTCACTAGTCGCACCTCCAGTATCGATCCGATCGAAAGCGGGGTCCTGGCTGAGATGATTCCGAGCTCATTTTCAGAGTTTCACTGTCCAAGTTCTGCCCCTGCTATTTCATTGATATGGAGAGCCTTTTCTGTGATTTGTAATGCGTGCCAGTCGGTATGTGTGGTCGTGTTGGCTCGAAGCTCGCTGGTTTCAGCAGCTAGGTAGCAGCCGCATGTTGACCTTATGTGCTGCTGAGGTTCCTAATATCGTAGTTCGGTCACTGGATGATGCTGCAAGGTGGTGCGATCATGCACTTGAGAGGGCGGCTTCTCTGAACAGCAAGGCCGCTGTATTGAGCACGCTCACAGATCGCGTGATCACTTGCAGCTCATCGTTTTCTGGAGTTGGAACCGATGCCACTGCCATGAGCATCATCAATCACACAGTCGGTCATCTCTTACACGCGTGGGGTGTGACTGGCGTGCCAACAACGTTTGAACATTGCTACGCAGTCGAAAACTACGGCCCGTCAGTGGATGAATTGACTCATCACCCAAATCCACCAATGAACGTGTTCAGAGACATCCTTGAGTTCACTGAGCCTCGCTACCGAAGGCTGGTCGGGCTGGATGGTGGCACTGTTGCCTCAATGCACGAATTGAGATCACTGTTGCCCTACATGCAGCCACGTCTCCGTGCTCGGTGCGCAAAGCACGGTGGATGGTACTCCGTGAAGCATACCGACTACCACCACTGTTCGAGCCCATGCGTAGACTGGAGCAACATGGGTGCGCACAACTATTCACATGGCTCTGCGTCCATACCGTTCTTGGTCTGGGTCTCCATTGTGCGATGCCTGAAGTTCAAGGTTATAACACACGAGAACGTAACAGAGTTTGGGACGGCGGAGATTGACACTTTCTTGTCAGACATGTATATTATCGTTCGCATTGTATCTCGGCCTGACAAGCTCGGGTTCCCGGCGATGCGCAACAGGCAAATCCTATTTTTGTTTCTCAAGACATGGGTTGATGGGATTCTGCCTGAGATCGGCGTCAATGACAGGGCCGCTCTGATGCAGCATGTGAGGTTACAGCAATACCACGATTTCTTGTTCACTAGGGTATGTGAACTCACATGGCATGACCTTGCAGTTGCTCCACTTCGCTGTCTGGAAGAGGACCTGGAATGGGCCTCGAATCGCAGCATGAGTCTGAGCAATAGCCAGCCTCACCAGCCTCAGAAGTCTTGGGAGAATGCGCTCAACAAATTTGAGCCCGACAACTTGATCAAGTGCAGGCAGAAGTACGGAGCTTGTGTAGACAAAATCATTAATCTAGGTCAGAATCCAGATCAACGCACCGTCATGTCGTGCGGGCCACGTGGGCAATACCTTCAGACGCTCACCAAAAATGGCGCTTTGCTGTGGATGCTCCCTCTGAACAGATGGCTGGTCCCAGCGGAGTGCTGGATCTCGCTCGGGCATCCTGTGACAGAACAGCTGCAAGCAGCTAATCATGGAGCACAATCGCCCTTCAGTGTAGCTCGCTCCTCACCAAGGCTCCGTTCGCACCATAGCCAATCAAGCCAATCAGGAAATGCGATGCACCTCGTGACGATCGGAGGCTCGATATTGCTCATGCTGTTAAGGTTTGGGCCCGCGTTGGGATGTCGGGTCACTGGGAACCCCGAGCTCCCAGCAGCGCAGGAGTTCTCGGCACTGTTGCAGTTGCAGCGCCTGAAACGCAGTCGTCTTGCGCCCCAGTAATGTTGAGCCCCAGTGTCTCGAGCCCTCGAGCCAAAACCAAAGCCTGGCGACAATGAGGAAGAGGAGAAGGAGGAGGAGGAGGAGGAGTAGGAAGAATAGGACTAGGAGAAAGAGGAGGAGGGCTCGGTTTGACTGGTTTGTGGGGCGAGTCCTGCCACACATGTTCCTCCGCCTCCCCCTACTCATCCTACACCAGATTCCCCAGCCCTGAGGCCATCAGATGCCCTGTGCAGGAACACCATCTAGCGTCCGTAGCCTTTCGAGCCCATTTGGCCGAATTTGTTTGCAGAATATCCAACGTTCTCCCAACCAGCTTTCTTTCCTCCCGCTATCGACGCTGTGGTCTCGCCGCAATGGCAATTGTGGCATCATCAGACTCGCCACCGACACTTCGGCCGTACGGGAAGTGGGACACGGCGCCATCGGCTTCGGCCCGCTACGGCAACGCCAAGGGCAGGGTGTTGGATGACTTGGTCAGGGCAGATTACGTGGACGAAGAGAGGTGGCTTCCGCTCTTTGGGAAAGATGGGCAGCAGCTGCTGACGCGCCACGAGCGTCTCAACGTGCGGAACCAGTGCGATAACAGGCTCAAGTACAAGAAGTTGGTCTTAACAATTGGGTACAAGCCCAATCAACGAAATGAGATGGTGTTCGTCCCCAAGGCCAGGGGCAGCGAGGGACACTGGTGTCTTTCTGGAGCGCACCTCGTGGAAGCGATCTACGAGGCACATGCAGAACAGCCTGAGAATCCTCAGGTGATTGCGTCAGTGGCTGGTGGCGTGAAGGCGCGCGTCCTCGATTACCGCAGTCCGGACGACATCTTGTCGCACTTCAAGGAAGACGGGAACGGCCTCAACCACATCCGCGGCCAGGTCGCATTCACTGAGAGCGTTGGCGAAGTTGGCTCGATGCAGAAGAAATGGAAGGATAGCAGGAAGGGCGAGTTTGACGACCACGACTACGAGGAGCACAAATCAAAGTTCGACAACAAAAAGTACGAGTCTGAGTACATGGAGTTTCTGGACAGGGAGTTCCCCGGCTACTTCGAGGGCAACTGGAACCTCTTCGACATGACCAGGCGCGTCTATAACAAGTTCCTGAAGGTCCCTGAGATACATGCTGAATGGAGGGCCTATTGTGATCAACATTGCGTCTACTCCAATACGAGGCTGGACACTGGCACGACGATGTACATCATGGATAAGTTGATGACGAAGGTTGCTGCCTACGACCTGTGGGATCACTTAGTCGACATCTTCAAGTTCTGCATCCCAACGAATGATGGGCACGAATGGCACTGCACAGAACGGAAAGATTGGGTAAAGATCCTCGCCCTCTTCATGCCAATCACCCACGGCAAGAGGGACGGAGAGAAAGTCAAGGTCGAGGTCTTGGCCGAGAAAGCCAAGTTGAACAGGGCTTTCAAAGCGAAGGCTGCCGCGGACACCACCGAGAAGGACGAGGGGAAGAAGGATAAGACTCGCAAGAAGGGCAAGGGCAGGGGAGCGAAAGGGAAGGGCAAATCCACCGAAGTCTTCAATCAGTTCCAGGCAACCAAGGGCGGCAGGGATGTGATCATGTTCGAGGAGATCATCGGCACCATTGAGTACGCGGTAGAGGACATCGGCGACCAGTACATCAATCGCAGCGTGCTTTCACAGATGAAGGATGTTTGCATCACTTGGGCGTTGCAAGGCGGCACCGTCGAAGCACCTCCGCTCGTCGCCCAGGCGCAAGTTCTGAAGTACGAGGCCGATGAGAAGAAGATCGAGAGGCTGAAGAAGACGTTGGTGAAGACTTCATGGTCGTCACTGAAGAAGCACGTCGTGATGCTCATCCGAGAGAGGCACCAATTCGCCCCCAAGACCGACATGGACGCCGTGCTGGGAGAAGATACTCAGGAACATACTTCGTCGGCAGCGACCGGGGGCAGCGTCGCTCGCATGAAGCTTGACCCTTCCGAGTTCCCTGGCGTCCTGAACGTCTGCAAGCTGGAGGAAGCGGTTGCCATGGTCACGGACGAGTGCATGATCATCTACAAAAACTTCATCAGCAAGAACACCCCGAACCACATGTTCTGCCCGACGGGCGTGCTCAAGATGAGCCAGCCAGCCCTTCAGAGCATGGGATCAACCTTGTACGCTCTCGTGACAGACCCCGATGCCATCAAGCAGTGGCCTAGCATGGACGTGGACGAGAGCATCAAAACGTTCGTTGGTATGATTGCCTCTGCTATATTTCGGACGATGCCGCAGGACATGGTCCATTTCATGCGTACTCTTCACACTGCGGTCGATGAGTCAGGAAGTGGTTACGCAGAGCTATCAAAATCGAAGATCAAGGTGTTGCGGACCGCGCTGGAGGTGTGGCCGCGCTTCGCCGACCTGGAGAGGTAGGGGGCCACGCGCGAACCATGCCCCTAGCCTCCGCGATTTCTGAGTGGGAGGGTGGGGTTCAGGAGGGTCACCTTGCTCGGAGCAAAGTGAACACCACCCTCCCCATCAGAAATCGTGGGGGATATGGGTAGGGTTCGAATGTGGACCCCTACGAGGGCCTTGGGCATGCGTGGCAAGTACGCCCTGAATCTGATTGCAGATGCTCCAATGCTCATGGCTGCAGCCGCCCACGCATCCGACGAACAACACGATGACGCTTTCGATAAGATGACCGAGCTCTGGGGGAAGCTGAAGCTCGCGGCAAGTTTCATCGACAACTACTCGCTCGAAGCCTGTGCAGCCGACGCCCAGGCCACCTGCCAGGACACTTGGGTTGCGATGTGGAGCAAGCTTTTGATCGAGCTCATGAAGAATCCGAGCGACTCGATTGCTAAGAGGCCTAGGACTGAGTTGGAGCTCAAGGAATGGGCCCGCGCACAGTCTGCAGTGCTCGACTCCAAGACGAAGTCCGATCTTGCAAATCAGGCGTGCTTGATGGGCTACAACAGCAAGGATAGCAGCAAGAACGAGATCATCGCCTTCATCGTCAAGAAGAGGGTTGAGACTGAGAGGAAGAAAGATCTTGACATAAGTTCAGAGCAGAAGCAAACGTTGGCGGCAGCCTTGCAGAAGATCAGCGAGGGTGAGAGCCCCATGGCGCTGAGCATCGTCAGTGCAGACAACGAGCGCTCGTCTCCGACTGATTCCTACACGGCCTTGGGTTATCGGCCAATCTCCGTCGACACCTCCGCCAACGAGTTCGTGGCGATGGCTCTCGCAAACAGGATCACGTCTTTCATGATGGGCCAGTTGAGTAAGGATGTTGGCGCGGACCTGGTCAAGCATAAGGAAGTTGTGAAGCCAGATGGAACAACTACGATCACTGCCAAGATGTTCAGCGACTTCGGCTTCGACAAATCTCAAAACAGCTGCAAGGAGTTGTCCTTCACGATGTTCGGGAATACTTTCTTGATGAAGATCGGGGTGCAGCCGACGCAGAGGGCCATCGCGCGCCTCGGCGAGGTGGTGATTGGAGGGGCCACCTACGTCATCTGGGCTTCGCCAACGCCTGCGATGCATAACCCGACAGGCGGACTGTTCGTGCCAGCGTGGGGCGTCATCAAGATCAGAGAGTATGAGGACGGCACTGCTCCGAACACTACCCTGAGTACGACTCGCGTTGAGCTGGAGGTCCCTGAGTGCTCCGAGCCGTTTGCTCTTCCAAAGTGTACGTTGTCTGTTCCTGTTCTCATTCCAAACATCGAGTTCCTGAAAAAGAATGGTGCCACCGAGATGTTGGAGTTGACAAGGCCGGAGCTTCCAGAGGGGAAGCACGTGAGGCTTGCGTCGTCATGCAACACTCGCAACAAGCGCACTCTTAAGGCTGAGGGCTCCGACGATCTGAACGGAGAGCACGTGCAAAAGTTTGCGAAGCGAGCCGCAGCGTAGATTCTTTTCTTCTAGCCTCTTGCACGCAGTTGGTTGGACTGCGATCCCATCGCGGCACATCACATACAATAGTATGCAACGTCTGGGCTGCGGGTTGCCCAGCTTGTCGCGGATGGTTGATTTAGCATTGATTCAGTAGGGCCTGGCATGGCCCCGATCAGCCGAGTGCCGATGAGGAGATGAGGAGCAGTGGGAGAGTCACTCGAGGGATGCAGGGATGATGGCAGGCAACGATCGGGGATGCCAGAACAGTGCGACAGCAGCAGTTTCTTGAAGTCTCTGATGAAGCTTCTTGGAGATAGCGGCGTGTGAAACATCCGTCCTCCTTGCCATCCGCCCTCTGTTTCTCCCCTCCTCCTCCTCCTCCTCAGCCTCCTCCTCCTCCTCGCAGCCTGGGGGGTGGGGGCCGAACGTGGAGCCCGACGTCGACGTCGGCAGCCAGCCAGGACCCCCCCCGCGCGCCTGCCCCGCGCGAGCACGAGGAGAAGGAGGAGGAGGGGGGAGGAGGAGGAGGAGGAGGAGGAGGAGGAGGAGGAGGAGGAGACGGGAAGAGTAGGGAAGAGACTGATCGAGGATCGAGGGTGAGGATTTTTGTTAGCGAACGGAGCCCAAGTAACTGCTAATCCAACAGGCCACGAGGAGGAGGAGGAGGAGAAAGTATGAGCGAGGAGTGAGGATGAGGATGAGTTGTTGTTACGACTGCGTCGGCGGATTGCGAATTCAAATGCGTTCAGAAAGGCTGCGGTCGCGCAAAGACCTATTATTTTTCAGCGCATACGGCGCTGAAAACCATTGATTTTCATAGCGGTTGGGCCTTAGCTGAAATCGGACCGAGACGACAAAATAGGGCCTTTCATTTGGTTCCCATGCGTCACCCACACCCATTTCGGCACACCCCTCACACGTTTCGTGGCTCCATAGGGAGCTCCACCGAAGGCCCCAGTGCCCGCGCCCACATGCGTCACCCACACCCATTTCGGCACACCCCTCACACGTTTCGTGGCCCCATAGGGAGCTCCACCGAAGGCCCCAGTGCCCGCGCCCGCATGCGTCACCCACACCCATTTCGGCACACCCCTCACACGTTTCGTGGCCCCATAGGGAGCTCCACCGAAGGCCCCAGTGGCGGCGCTCACATGCGCATGCGTCCCGCACACCCATTTCGGCACATCCCTGACAGGTTTCGTGGCCCCATCATCCACCGGAGGCCCCAGTGGCGGCGCTCACATGCGTCACCCACACCCACCCAATTCGGCACACCCCTCACACGTTTCGTGGCCCCATAGGGAGCTCCACCGAAGGCCCCAGCGGCCGCGCTCACATGCGTCCCCGCCACCCATCCCGGCACGCCCCTCACAACAACAGGTTTCGTGGCCCCATGGGGAGCTCCACCGAAGGCCCCAGTGCTGCCGCCCGCATGCGTCACCACCCGCACCCAATTCGGCACACCCCTCACACGTTTCGTGGCC